CTGCTGACGCAAGAAGGCTGTGGGGAAAGCTGACCATGTTGGTTCCTTGACCTGGTTTGAATGGTGCTTCCAAAGGTGAATGCTCTTCCCTCATCGGTGTTCACATGGCCATTAATGTGTTATCCCGGGGCTGGTGGAACAGTTGCCTCAACTGCCTCCCCGCACGCTTGGTAGTCGTGCACTGAACACTGGCTTTGTGCAGAATCGGTGAGGATTTCCACTGTTACTTACTCCCTGGTGCGAATCAAGACCACTCAAACTCTGTTGTCAACGGATAAGCAGGAACAGTTGGAAGCCTCCTAGCCCTTCATTTTTGCTCTGTCACTGTTTGCTGTTCCAGAGAAGCAGTGGTGTTTTTTCCTCTCTTTACAGTTGCAATGCCTTTGTAGAAAATTCTTGGAAGGGATTGCATGAGCTGCTTGCTCCTCTTCTCAAACAGCCTGAACATAATTAATATTGATAATAGGTGACCCATGTCACTCTAAGGCAAGCTGAGTTCCTGGTTCGTTGCAGTAGGTGAGGCTGTGCAGACCTCTTCCTTCCTCCTTTCAGGGAGGAAAGTTCTGGACTGCACCTGGCTCCGACGGAGAGCAGTGAACAAGTGCAGTATGTTGCAGCCACAGGCTCCCCTTGTAGGTTCCCTGAGTAGTGGTGAAGGAAGTAGTGATCTGGACAGGAGCGTTGCTTGGAGCTGTGAAATCTCCTGCCTTTCCTCACTGTGTCACCTGGGATTAAGCATCACTGCTTAACCTGGACTTCTGTCTTCCTAGAACTCTACTATGACCGAGGAAACCACCACGAGTTCGTGTCTCTGGTGAAAGACCTGGCCCGTCCTGGTGAATTCACTCAATCGCAGACATTTGACTTCGAATTCACACATGTGGAAAAACCTTACGAGTCCTACACGGGGCAGAATGTGAAGTTACGGTGAGTCTCCTCCCCTTGCTGACCCCAGTTCTTGGTTCTCTGCAGTGTGCAAGTACTGATATTTACTGTGATGATACTGGAGTGCAGCATCCCTTCCCAGACATCCTTGCAAGCTTATAACGTAACTCCAAATGATTTTTGGTGGGCTGAGTTGTAAAAGGTTGTCTTTGAGGGCTCTGCTTTTACAAGCATGCGTCAGGCTTTATGGAACTTGTTTTGCACCATTTAAGTGACAAGAGAAATCAGCCCCTTTTGAATCAACCGGATAGTTTCTAATTTATTTGGTAATTCAAAAACCAGAAGAAATTGTTTGTTTTAGTCTCCAGTGGGGACATTTTCACTGTCTTGTAATCAGTCTTGTTGACTTTAATTGTGCTCTATAAGCAAACAGATGCCTAGCTTGTAGCTTGTTCGTATGTTGCAAACTGTATTTCCCATCTAGGCGCTTGAGTTGACTTGAAATCCAGTCACTGGCTTCAAAGGGGGGGGTTGGAAAATTCTGAGATCTGCAGAATGAGGTGTGTCTGTGGAGACCGGTGTGATCTAATCTCTTGCAAAAGAGCAGTGGTTTTAACATGTGCAGGCTGTTACTCAGATCCCCAAAATGGTGCTTAGGTAACTCAGGCTCACAAATGTATGAAAGCTTAGAGAAGTCTTAGAAGAGTCTGCTTTTCCATTTGAAAATTCCCTTCTGTCTTTTCCAACATGGGGTATTAGCTGCTCCAGAAGCCAGGGTACCAGTAAGACTGCTTGGATAGCCCAGTGCAATCCATTCAGCCCTGTGTCCTTCCCTGCTTCGTCTCTCTTGCTACCTGTACAACCCTAATAGGAGGGGGACTCTCCTTGCAGGTATTTCCTCCGAGCGACTGTCAGCCGCAGACTGAACGATGTGGTGAAGGAGATGGACATAGTCGTGCACACTCTGAGCACCTACCCAGAACTCAACTCCTCTATTAAGATGGAGGTGGGGATTGAGGATTGCCTGCACATTGAGTTTGAGTATAACAAGTCCAAGTAAGTGTCTCAAGAGCTGCCGGTGGCTGTGGGGAACCATCTGCTACAGGGGACAGCTTGGTTTGGAAGCCCGAGGCATGTGTCTTGCACGTGATCCTCAAAGGGGTTCTTTGTTCACACGCTCCAGCGAGGCTGGCAGACAGTTCAGATCCTAGTTGAGGATCTTTGGGTTCCTCTCCTTGCCCATAGATGTACTTTCTGGACCAAGGAATCGGAAGAAATGGCTGTGGCTTACTGAGCTTTGGAGCACAGCGTGAGGTTGTTTTGCTTTGCATTCCCTGTATCCTTGGCAAGATCAGTATTTTCACGTGTCTTCAAAGTATAACGTCTGCTCTTTACCAGACGATACAGCTGAAGTGGGACCTTAATTCAGGCACAGAAGTTGGAACCAGCTCTTTTAAAACTACTTTTACTGCATCTTTCCCAGCTGATGCTAGCAGATTTCCCTGCAGTGTAACATTTGGGTTAGTTTTAATTGACCTAAAAAATTGGTTTTGGAGGCTTTGCTGTCACAGGGGTTTCTTGCAGCTATTCAGCCTGAAATTGCATTTAATTTCTCTGATCGTGCTAAATGTTCTTGTCAATTTCCAAAAGACTGGAGGATGAAAGCTGAAGTGCTGTTTACAGCAGCCTAGTGGAGGAGGTTGATATGCCATCTGAAATTTACAGCTGGGCCACCGATAAGAGCAAAGTGCCTGACAAGCAAGTTCCCACTCTTCAGTCCTGGTCTGCTGCGCGGTGTTTGACTGTGGTGCTGTCTTCCTTCATGTGCTAGGTATCATTTAAAAGATGTGATTGTCGGAAAGATCTACTTCCTGCTGGTGCGAATCAAGATCAAACACATGGAGATAGATATCATCAAGAGAGAAACAACAGGGACCGGACCCAATGTATATCATGAGAATGACACAATAGCTAAATATGAGATAATGGACGGGGCACCTGTGAGAGGTGAGAAGGCAGATGAACCCTTCAAAATTCCTCTTCTGAAGTCTTTTGGGGTGGGAATAAGAGTCCTGCAATGTCTTCAGCTGCATCTGTGTGCTCAGTAGTAGTATGCCTCCTATTTCAGTGGGGGACTCACGGCAGTTTACATAGGCGATTGAATCTGATCCCCTTCCTTCTCTGGTACGATGAGGAAGAACTGAGGCCTAGTGAGTTGCAATGACTTAATTCTTTTGATGAAGCAGTGGCAGAACCAGGAATAGATGTAAATTCGCTGTTGGCATGGGCCACCAGCTGGCATTGCTGCAACTTGGAGCAGAAAGATGGTGTTCTAGCTCTGTGCCAGTCTCCTGTGCCACTTGTTTTCCAGTTCCATTGCCCAGCAGAGTCACCCACCAGAGAAAAATGTCACCTTACTCATTTTTTCCTGCAGTGCTGTCTTGATGCAGGTCACAAATGAGTCCTGTGCTGTTAAAGTGGAGATGGAATAGCTGTCAGCAAGGGCAGGATCTGGCTATGGGCCACGCATGCTGATTTTTGAAGGGAGTTAAGGTCTTTTAGCTCATCTTACTCCACTTCTGGAAATGGCCACAAAGTTTGTGGCCTGGTGAGATTTTGTTTTGCTGGTGCTCTCCCAGTTTATATCTGTGCGTTCTGTCTGTGCTGATGGTTCTGTGCACTTTGTAGGGGAGTCCATTCCCATCAGACTCTTTCTGGCTGGCTACGAGCTGACTCCAACGATGAGGGACATCAATAAGAAGTTCTCGGTGCGTTATTACCTCAACCTGGTGCTGATCGACGAGGAAGAGAGACGCTACTTTAAACAGCAGGTGAGAAACAGACCTGTTAGTTCTTCTTGGACCTGTAGACTGTCGCTTGGGATACCATGTTATAAGGACCTTCTGGGAATTTGGGATTCCCATGGGGGAGAGTCATGCTCTTGACTGAATATCTGTAAGGACTAGACAAATGAGAGTGTGCAAAGAGGGTCTAAAAGGAATGGTCCATGCAGGTCAGATGTGCGTGGTGGTAGGGATGCATGTAGAAGGTGCCCACCTGGGACTTCTTTTCCTCTCTGTTGCCCTGTGGTGGAGCTTCTGTGCTTCACTTTATCAATTCCAGTGTGGTAATAGGACAGAGCTGCCCTAGATGTCCAGTGGGTTGCCTCTGTGTGCTCAGATCCTGGGGAGGAGCACTCTACCCAAATTTTCAGGAAGGCTGCATTGCAAGGCCTCCGCTTGCCACTGCAAGCGGCCTCATGTGCGTGGCTGCGGGTGGAACATGCCAGCACGGGCTGAGTTCTCACTGGGTGCGAGCTGCTCGCCTGGCAGCTTGGTTCAGCCTTTGGGTCTGGGTGGGGCCAGGAGAAGGTCTCGCAAGCCCTGACAAGCCGTGGTGCTGGCTGTGTTACTACAGGAGGTGGTGCTTTGGCGGAAAGGAGACATAGTGAGGAAGAGTATGTCCCACCAAGCAGCCATCGCCTCCCAGAGGTTTGAGGGGACATCCTCACACACCGAGGCCAAGACCCCCAGCCAACCTGCAGAGAACAACGGCCGGCAGTGAGAGGCCACGCAGAGGAAGGCTGCTGTGGAGCCGGTGGGGACAGCAGCAAGGAGGAAGAAAAAAACACTTCAGAGACTTCATGAAAATAAATATCCGTTTTTGACTTAATTCCTTTCTTCAAAGGACTCGTAGGGTGGGAAGGGGATGGGAGGGCAAGGCAAGCTGGAGCACTGGTGGTGCGGAGTTGAAGGTACCTCAGTGCTTCCCAATCAACTACATTCCTCTGGGGTCGGCTGCTTTGAGGCATGTGTCCGGAGGCTGCGGAGCTGCCTGATCTCCTCTTTGCCCCGAGACCCCTTCAGTGTGGCAGCGGGGAGGGAGAGAGCAAGTGAAGGCCAAATCTGCTGCTTCTTCCCAGCAGTGTGGAGGTTGCTTTGGGGCTGTGTAGGATGGATATTTTTCTTGCCTTTCTGAAATCTTCACGAAGGGAAAATGACACAGCGATTAGCTGGAAGGTAGAGGAGGGAGTCAGAGACTGAGGTGCGGCCTACTTGAAATTGCTTAGTGTTATCCCCTCGCTGCCTCCCCTTCCTCTTCATGCTGGCGTTGGATTCCTTGTCAAAAACACTTATATAAGGTAGTTGACTCAGCCCTGGGACTGCCACGCGGAGCACGGGCGGCAGGCGTGCTGTTGTGTCCTTGCTGTGGAGCTCCTGACTGCCGTGTTGCGTCAAGGGGGAGCTGCGGCTGGTAGGAGGCAGCGAGGCATGCGAAGGCATAGGAGGTGGCACAGGTTGGGCAGAGCGGTGAAGGTCCCAAGTGCTGCTGGGTGGGCAGGAAGGCTCCTGGCTGAGAGCGGTGCTTTCCTAGTCCTGTCCCGGCAGCTGCCTGAGTGCCTCTGAGATTCACTCTGTCTGGTTGCTGCACTCGTACAGGTCCCAGTTGCTGCTGTAGAGCAGGGGCAGACCAGCCTTGAGAGGTCTAGAGAATAGTTTTGGAACGTGAGAAATAAATGGGGGCTCTCTTGGGAGTGGGCTTATGCTGCACACGCTGCCCTGCTCGTGTCTGTGTTCTTGTGGCAGAGCAGGCTTTGTAGTAGGGACAGATGGCGGTACAGAAACACGTGTGTGTTCTTTTGTTTGCTCCCTTGCGCCTGTGGGATGAGGATTAGTAAGGACAGAAAGTGGATGCAATTGTTTTAAGAAGCTCGTGGCCTGTGTGTGCTGCTAGATGAAACCAAGCAGCAACTGGAAGGATGGTAGAGCTCTCTGATTCCAGAGACACATTCCTGAGGCCTGAGCTGAAATCACCAGTGAGGTCTGAGGGTATCCCATGAACTGAGAACCTGAATGTGGGTTTTTTCTTTTCTAAAATAAGCTTCTTCTAGTCTTCAGCTAAGTAGAATCATGAGAATGTTCCCAGAAGGGAATCACTCCTCCATTAAAAATTAGATGTGGCTTTGTAGACATGATTGACTGAGTCTGGAGAATATCCATCCTGTTTAGATGCCCTTCAAGGAAACAGGTGGTTAGACCTCCTACCAGATGCAGAGACAAGACTGCAATAAATGCTAGGGATTTAAGCCCTAGCAAGTGGGATTTGTCTGGATTTCCCTGTGAGTTTGTGGCTTGCTAGGGTTTTGTCCGGCTTCCTTTTGACTCTGGAATGAATCTCCTCTGCCTCTGTCCTACAGCTGAATGTAGAACAGTTGTCTCGCAGCTGGGAAATGGAAGTATCTTTGCTTTGTTTAGTGGAACAGTGCTGGTGGGGGGAATGGGGCCTGGGTGGGAAGGGGAGCTTTTTATGTACTAAGACAGCTACTGTATTTCAGTGATAAATGTGTGTTTCTGCTTGCCAAAGTAAGTTATCTTTTACTCACCATGTGTAAGGTTGTGGTTTTTCGTAGAGCTGGACAGTCTCGCTCTGTTGTAAAGGACACTAACGATCTCATCTCTGCTGAATGCTCGTGTCACACCATGTTTCTGCTCTGTAATAGTGAAGACGTGGCTTGCTTTTCTTTACATGAGAAGTCTGTGCCATGGGCTGGAGCCGTGTCTTCCTAAGACTGAAGCAAAAGCTTACTTCAGACAACTACCTTGCTATGCCAGGGCAAGGGGTGGTAACCTGCCGCAGGTCTCACATGGCAAAGGAATCTGGATGTTGCTTTTGACACTCTACTCCCCGCTCTGTGCGGGCGGAACCACCTGTGCTGTGGCAATACACAATCTTTTAGAGACAAGCGAAGCTCCCATCGGGAGCCTCTGGGGATAGCAGACTAGCTTTCCGTGGCCAAGCTGAGCACAGCAGCACCCTAACCACCCTCTAGCTTTCCCTCAACTCCCATCCCGCCTAGAATTTTTTTCCTTTCCTATTCCTCTTGATTGTAGGCCATGTGGTATTAAAGAAACCCCATGGATGAAGATGTCTCTGCATTCCAGGAGTGTTTTTGTGCACTGGCCGAACAGCATCAGTACTGGATATAAGATGATTGTCTGACAAGACAATGCACTGTAGGGAGATTTCTATTAAACATTTGTTCATCGCTTCTGGAGGGATTACTTGGAAAAGGTGCATGAGCCTATACATTGGGTTGGGTTAGGGTATTTTCTTTTCCCCGACTTTGTGCCCCTCTCCTGTGTGTCCCTACTTGTGGAATCAGAATTTAGAAATGATCCCCATTTTTACTTAATCTAAATGGACCATTCGAGCTGTTACCTGCTAGGCCCTCTGTTTGTCTGGGGTGGAGCAGATGTGCTGAGCATCCTTAGAGAGAAGTTGAAGCATAAGGTCGCTCCAGGACAAGGTACTTTAGAAAAGCATTTCATTAGCATGGTAAGGGGCAGACACTGCTCGAGCAGTCGTGTCCCCCTAAGCTGGGCGGTTCTGTTTGGTACTTGGGTCATTCCTTCCCTCCCAGGCAGAGTCAGGCAGGGGGGAGTGTGCAAGTACTAAACCAAGCAGTGCAACCTGTAATTAAGCCTCTGCTGTGTTTACATGTTTCTTAATTCGTCGTCTTTTCAATGGCTGTATTTTAAAACTTGGGGTTTTTGTCTCTCCAATTAAAAAGAGCCAGCCCTGGCTGTCAAATGCTGTGCATGAGTTTGTCTGATATGGTTTATATTGCCTGGTCTGGGTTTGTTTCGGTTTTTATGGTGTTAAGACATTTTTCTTTAGTGCCGTGCTGTGCAGCCCTCCGCACATGCTCGAGGAGTTTCTCCTTTGTTATCTTTATAAATTCTTGGTCTTTCTTTAAGCTATGTCACTGCTTAGAAGCTGTTCTGGCGGAGGACCCATGTAGCTTAAAAATTAGCAAGCTAGCTTTATTTGCTTCTATTTCCCTGATGTCAGTCCTAAAGTAACATGGGAAGTTTTGTACCTGCAGGAAGTTAACTGTGAGCTGCTTTGCAGCAATCAGGCTGGATGTGTACATACATCTAAATTTTCTTGTTCTAGGCAGAAGCTTAGTGATACCTTTCTGCAGAAAAATGTTCCTCTGCGGGACACGGAACTGCACTGGATCCTCTAGTAAACATCCTCAAGGAGGATGTGCCTGTTACGTGCTTCAAGAGATAAATTGCAGATTTTTCCACTATTAAAAAATTGAGTAGTTGCAATTGATTCTAAAAGGCTTTATTTAAAAATAAGCAAAAATAACAGTGTGTCAGAATAAGGGACGTGTAGCTGCAAATCATGTGCGGGCATGTTCTTGTTGCTGCGATTGAGCAAGTAAACTTGCGAATTACGCTGGTTTAGGAGGAGGCATCAGTGGGCTGGGTAGAAGCTGTGCTGCTGTCAGTTTCTTAATGTGGCTTTTCCTCTTCCAGGCTCAAGACAAAATCAAATTCCTCTGCGTTGAAAAGGTAAGGAAGAAAAAGCCATCAGTGGAACTTCCAAGTTCTCTGAGTGAGGGCTGCCTCTCAGAGGGAATGGCACCAAGAGTCCAGAGAAGAAGGTTCTTACCTTGTGTCAGTGGTTGGATGGAAAGACGTTGTCTTGTGAAGAGCATCATGTTCTTTAGGGGGCCTCCATCTGCTTTATGTGCCAGGTGGTGAGCCTTGATTTCAGAAAGGGGGATGAAACGTTTTGTCATCCGCACAAACTGGACATCCACCTGGGAAGTGATGGGCAGCAAAGGAGCATGGTTGGAGAAGGATATAGCCTCCAGATGTCACATAAGATCTTTGGGAGGATAAAGATTTTAAACTGAAGCAGATGACTGATGCATACTATCTTATAATGGTACGGAAGCTTTTCCTTGCTCAAGGCTAAAATAACTTTCAGATACTTCTGGCAGGTGATCTGTTTACAGAAATCCTAGCACTGTGCACTAGCAACATGCATTCATGTTGTCACAGACAATACAAAATTAAGATGCGGGATGTAGCCAGCCTGTGAACAGTCACTTCCCTATAATTTAGTGTGCCTCAGAACTACAGCTTTGTTTGCTGTAGACTGAGAGCCATACTTGAAGATGTTCCTTCTCTTTCCTAACCCAGAATTCTGCCATGCACAGAGGTCAGCTCTGCATCCAAGTAAGATTTGAAAATTTAGGGAGATATATTTTGGCAGCCTTCTGGAAGGGAGAGGGGAAAGGTAGAGAAAACAATCAGGATTGGATTTTCTCTTGAGAGAGAAAAAGGTAGCTAGGCCAGGACAGAAGCTTAAGAAGACGTGCAATATGAGGATAAGAGGCTTCTAACTTCACTCAACTTGCTTACAGAGCTTGAAACAGCTGTATTTAGTTTACTACATTACCATGGACCATTTGGGGTTCTCTTTTCTGCTGGAGGAATCATAATGAGGATCCTTCTGATCAAACTGTGTGTGATCAGGGTATGCCTCCTTTACAATCTGAAGCAGAAGGGGAGAAGAACATGAGACAAGTTCCCATCAGTTAAGAACTATTGTCAGCACAGGGTATGAAATGCCCTTAAGAAAGCTGTGACTAGACATAAGGAATAATCCTGGTACAAAAATCAACCTTGCTTTCCCTGAACTCCATTCTAATGGTGGGATATATTTCCTTCCTTTACGTTTCTTGGTCAAAGTGCTGCAGAACAGTAGGGCTGTCAATGAAGCGCCATCACCTCTTTGGAGAGTAATGTGGAAGGAGCACACGCAACAGAAGAAAAGTGGGTAGATGATAATGATAGCCTTTATGACGAGTTCTGCTCTTGAAGAAAAAGCTTTTCTGTGCCCTAGGTTTTATATTACTGCCTTGCAGGCTCAGCTGACTAAAATTTAGTGAATCAGATTTTAATCAGAGTGTGGAGCAACACTTGACTTGGCTGGAAGCACTCTGAAATGTCAGCAGGATAACAGCAGTGTGGTTCCATTTCTCTGGGGAAAGATGCCTGAGTCAGCCCTGCTGTGATACGTACTGTTGAGCCTAGATGCCCTAGGCTCAGTCGCTGCTCTGACCGGACAACTTTTGCACTCCTTTGGTGCTGAGACAAAAGTAGGGGTAATGAGCTGTTTGATAACTCACCAATTATTATTTTTCCCGCCCCCTGCCCTGTGAAACACAGAATGAGAAGAGGCACTCACCTTGACAATGCCAACAATGCCAGGCTCTTTACAGTTACTGTGGTAGAAGAAGGCCTGCTGCCCAAGTTTCATGGCTCTCAGGAAATTCCTTGCCTGTCAGGTATAAACAAGAGACTTTGAGCTCTTTGTATCAAGCTCTCAGGGTTGTATTATAAGCAGCTAGGAACAAGAACTAACAACAAGAGAGGTGTATGTGCTTCAGAGCTACTCAGGTAAGGTTTCCTATAGTTGTATGGATGTTTTGTGCTGCAATGAAGTGAAGTAAAAACAAGGCTAAAGAGCAAGATCCTGTTGGTTGGAAAGTATGTGGGAGTTCAACGGCTCAGCCACCCTCATTCAGAGATAGCAGAAGACTTAAGACTTGTAGCTGTCAGCAAACAAGCAGCAGAGCGGACCATATATAGTAGGGGGATCATATATAGTGGGGGAAGCATGCGTGGATTTCCTTTGCAGAGAGGCCTGGAACAGAAAGCTGTACACTGACAAGGCATAGTATTTGGGTAAGTACAGACTTGCTAAAAGGTGTCAAGGGAAATAGAGGCTGGTCTAAGCTAAACACCAAGCTAAAGAAAAACTGGATGATTTGACAGAATATTACTTAGCCTGAATCTGCCTTTGACCTAGAGGCAATTAAGCAGGAGTTTTGACTCTAATGCACCTGTAAAAACAGGCAGAGTGCCTCAAAAGGAAATCCTTCAGGCAAAGGGAACAAGTTATCTGTGGGGAGAGCCACCTTTTTTTCTAGTGCTATTTCAGCGACTCCATCTTTGAGATGTGCTCCTTACCTGGTAGTTTCTTACTCCATCCCAAAAGGTTGTCTGATTGGGCTGAGCTTTCAAGTCATCAATGCTGAACTGCCAAATGGAATGAAAATACGGGTTAAGGTAGTCTGATCTTTATTGTGGCATTGTCTACATTGTGCCTAAACATTTGTTCTTAGTAGCTCCTTCAATTATAGTACAAACTTGACACAATTTTTTTGGTTCCCACAGGGGCTAAAGAAAAGCCTTCACAAAGGAGGAACACTGCAGCAGTGTAAAGGCAGAGTCTGAAACAGACACTGCCCCTGCTATCAACAGCCAAGCATTTAGGACCTGATTTTTATTACAAGTATGAAACCCCAAGGTTGTCACTCTGGAAGAGAAACAACATTATGTCTTTTTGTTTCCAGGAAGACAAATGTTTTTTGAGAAGTAAAGACACAATAGTGTTAATATTGCAAACAATCTTAATTGTCTGATCCTGTAACTCGG